ATATTTTTGGTTGATTTTTCTCCTCTTTTTCCCAATCCTGTTCCACTGATGCTTGCAATGGTCAGACAGACAACCTAACTTAAAATGCTGACACTAGTACTTCAAGTTCTGTCTTACATGGATCTTTCAACTGCATTAAGCACAGTGTTCACAATCTCAGTGGTCTCCAGCAGCTTTTTGGGGTAGATACCATACCCTGCTGTCATCATCGTAATTCAACCAGTGATTGTAACCATGGGATATTTTATTTTAAATTATCGTGGAGTACGTGCAGTCATTATCACCTAGGAGATGCTGAATGWGTAGGAGTGTAGCCAAGAAAAGTCATAGTTTCCAGGGTGAATCAGATGGTCCTTTTTTTTTTTAACTGAAAGGTGTCCACGTGACTAGTGAAAAATAAAACATTTGATTTAATCCCTTCTGAAAATACAGCAGATCACAACTGTGATCACATTTGGCATTTTAGGGAGTAGTAAAAGCAGTTGTGTATGAGCAGAAAAAAGAAGAGTGAAAGATGGAAAAGTAACACCAAGGCTATGGAAATTGCTGAAATCCCAGTAACTTTACAACAAAGAAGTAAAATTTATGTTTCCTATATATAATTATGTATGTTATTGCCATGAATGCTGTGATCATAAAACCACCAGTGAATAACACAGAAAGGAAAGTGCAAAAAACAGAAAGTCATCTGCCTAGATACAAACTCTTGGAAGAGGGGGAARGCTTCCTTTAAAATAGGGGATATTACACCTTAAAAAAGGTCATATGAACAGTGTCTTGCTTTTCTGAATAGAATAAAAAGGTAGAGGAAAAAACAGAGCCTGTAAGCTTAGCTGTGTGCATCAACACAAACACCACCCTGCTTTGTCTACTGCCCCTTAATTAAAGGAGCTATCCTAGAGTTTCTTAGGTCAGAGAGAAACAAAAAGCAAACTATATGGGGAGAAAGAAAACAATAACGTCTCTGTTTCCTTCTTGAAATTTACTGGGGCAGGCACCGTTTTTACTGCACAGTCACAGGCCTTTTCTATTTACAAATTCAAAGGCCAGTGCTAAACTTTCAAAGATGCTTGTGCCAGGTTCTGTTTCCAATTACCTGCACACTGTGTGGTTTCCCAAGTGGGGTTTCTGCTGAGACTGTAATCAGTCTAAAGTAAGTAATATCCACAAATGCCAGCTTGGATCAAGGGGCTGTGCTCCATGTCCCCAGCAGCCCCATCCTGCCTACAGGGAAATGCTGTCTTTACTGTCACAAGAACCCAGATAAGCTTAGACACATTTGGCTTTAATTTACATGTAGCCCAGCTACTCAGGAGAAAAATGGTGAGTGGACATGAGGGGAAGCGGTTAACAGGTATTTGTAAGAGGAATTTGCCCCCTTCTCAAACAGCTTGCAATGGTGAATGCYAGAGGCTACACAAGACGCTTGAGCACCCAGAAAGCAACAATTTGCCCTTCAGAGGCTGAACCCCAGTATCTGTAAAGGATTTCCAGCATAGAGACCTCCAAGTTTCCAGTTTTGAAAGGAAGAGGAAGCTATATGCAGAAGGACTGCTGGAACCGTGTCTTTCTGTAAACATGCYGTGCCCTTGAAATGGAGCAAAGCTCTCCTGCTAGCTAGTTTGGATGAAGACAGAGTTACCACACTGTCAAAAGGAACTGGTGAGTGTTTGTAATTTKTTTTGAAATTTTAAACCAGAGATGCTGTGGCAATCACCAGCGGCTGGCAGAAACAAGAATTGACTGTTCAGTGCACTACACCACCAAAAATGTTTAAAATGTCTTCACCAAGGGATGGCTAGTGCATTTTAGATATCCTTACAACCTCAGATCCGTATAACTGCATATGRAAAGACATTGGCAAAAGTGCCCCGGAAGCAGTTTTTCAGGAAGCACAGATCAGCATTGTTCCCTTGACTTCATGTGTCCAGATTTGCAGCCCTTGACAAGACCAATAAACCTAATGAAAATACAAGYCTTTCCAGGGAATGTGTTTCATTGGCTCTTTTCTTACCTTGTATTAGAGATTTATTACATTTCTTCCTCTTTTTTTTTTCCCTTTCTGACAGAATTTGAAATTCTCTGAAGTTTACAAAAAAAAAAAACCACTCCAACACTGTGATGAGATTTTACCCTTTTAGAACCTCATTTGGCAGAGAAAAAAACAGAGGTCCTATCGATTTTAATTCAAGCAAAGGACTCTAAACTTTTGATGCTGAGAGTTAAGATAAAAATACAACCACACTCAAAATCTTAAAARTTTGGAGTGAAAAAGTTAAAAATTGAAGATTTGTAACCTTAATTATGTGCAGACGGCAAGGCACTGAAACATCGTTTCAGATACAGGGAGCAAAGAGACTGTGAGAAAAAACACCACTTTTTCATGCCACTTCTCTCCAGACTAGGTGTCTGTCCTGATATAAAATATAGGGCAAGAGGTGAAGGTGGAGGAAGAGGCACAGCAGAGGTATTACCATTTCCAAACTGTCCGTGTATTTACTCACCTGGTTCCTCCACTGCCAACATCTGTGTATCTGCAGAAAGGCAGACATCCCACTGCCTTTTCAGGGCCCAGGAATGATGCTGCAAAAGGCCACAAACAGGGACAAAAGCAGGAACAGTTTCACTCCTTTTTTTTATTTTGGTCAGCTTTACAGGAAGAAAATATTCTGTTCACATGGAGCAAAAAAAAAGTAAAAAGTTGAAACAGTAAAATGCACTCCACAGTATTAGCCAATATTCCCAAAGTCCTTTACTGATGAAAAAAAGAAAAAGAATTTATTTCCAATACCTAAGGGGCTGAATCACCTTTCTCTCCCTCCCCACCCCCACTTTTCAGAGAAAACTGAAGCTTTAACAGCTTTTCCCCAGCAATAAAGGGAATTTCATGGCAGAACCAAAAATAAAACTAGGTCTTCCTAATGTCTCTACTTCCCAATGCAAGAGTAGCAGGAACTAATCATTATTCCACTGTTCAGTCATTGCCCATAGATATCTGTCTTTTTAAAAAATGTACAAGCATATGCAAGAGTGAAAAAGAGCATTAACAAGGAACTGTTTCTCAGGTAATCTGCCAGGAAGGCTTTGCTCAAGTCCCTTTTTGCTCCCACGTTCTCTCCCACCTGCAGCCATCCACCATGGCACAGCAGTGCACAGAGTCCCTGTGCAGCACTGTGGAAGATGAACTGCTGCAGTCACTCAATTGGCTCTTTTGCCTTTTCAGTGYCCCCAGACAGAAAGGGTAGTTCAAAGAAAGTGAACCTATTGCTGGATCCCTTCACATTTAAATCGTGCATGAGGAAGCCCTGGGTCTGATGAGTGGACCTACTCTCCAGCTGTTTCAAACATAGTAGCAACATCAAGGATAGCCAGTGCAAATACTGATTTTTTTAACTACTCTTTCAAAAATAACTTTTACAAGTTCTTTTTCACCACATGAAAGCTTAGATATTTTCTTGGCTCTTGGGAATGAAGGGCAACCTTGTAATTTGAGCAAGAGGAAGCCTGGAAGTGTGCTCTCCCTGGAGACCCACAAAGKAGTAACAACTGAGCCGCTGTGCCTCTCTTGTTTTAAGGAGAGGAAATATACAGCTTTGCTCCTTTCTGCAGGCACTGAGCCAGGCAGTCTGGTCAGGAAAGCAGTGGGAGCCAGAACAAATTCTGYTCCTCATGGCCTTGAAGTTGCTGCTTACTAGGAAGTATGAGGTGAGCAGAGACTGCTCCTTCCTCTGCTTGCCTGGAGGCACAATGCCCCTTGCTAGACTGGGATAAAAATGTGTTACAGGCATATGTAGCGATAGGTACTCTGACATACACCTGTACACCAACAACCTGCTCTAAAAGTCTCGTGTAGCAATGAAAGCAGGCAGGATGAGTTAAATGGCAGGCTGGGCTCCTTCCCATTGGTGCATCAGCCAGCTGAGTAAGAGGTAGAAGGGGTTTTTTATGGACCAGGCTTGTCAAACAAATCTTACATACGCACTACCATCATACCTTTATACTCCAACTCTGTCAAAGGCAAACCAGGCTTGGACACAGACAGCAGCTATACTTAAGTAACACTGGATTAGCTGAAGCACTTAAGAAGGGGCTATGAAGGAAGCTGCTGATGAATTAAGGGATTTCTTTAAATTTTTATTTCAATAAGCATTTTGACACTTTATTTTTCTTTAGGGTAGGGTGATAGAGTATGCACCTCCAAAGTATGTTACCAAATCACACAGTCTGGATCAGTACTTGCTTTCAATAGATACATAGAAGCACAGAACTACAGTAAGAACACAAAGGAAAGAGGTTCATCTCTTAATGAGCCAAAAGGAAGATCCTGAATCATGCTGCTCCCAGCCCAGGAGCTCTCTCATGGACCTGYATGATTTGGAATTTTCCTAATTGTTTAAAATGCATTTTCAAGAAGACTCTCTGCTGTCTAGGACTTCATTATGATCTAAAAAGAGACTGGCAACAATGAAAAAACTTTATTTTCCTTATTTGTGTTCCCTAAAGTTATTATTAATCTCAACTTTTATTTCTCTAGTTCTAATAAAGATTATGTTTTTCTTTCATTAGAAAAATATGGGAGAGACAAATGATCCATCATTGCAGGTGACAGATTTATTCACCCATGCAGAATGGGTAAAAATTCCTACAAATTTTCTGCCGTCAAATTCTGCAATGATTTCTCACATGTGCAAAGAACTGCAAAGCAGTAGGTTGGGACAGAATGGGATGAGTCATGGAGATGGAGATCATGATGACACAGGAAAAAAGAACTACCTTCATCTGTAATTCACTAACAAATTATCAGTAGATTAGTCCCTGACCACTGAGATAATGATTTCTAAATGGTGTGGGAATTAACTTTGTTCTGCAGCAGTTTGTGCTCATTTTATTCCTCAGAGACCTTCTACCTGGTCGATACTTTAATACCGCAGTTACTTTTTCCTGTAGCTGCAGTTCTGCAATGACTAAAAGCTCAGGTAAGCGTAACAAAAGGTGCAGATCTCTTGCCTTAAGCCTGCATAATGACTAATTCAATTGCTCACAACTTTCTCTATTTCCTTAGGAACTGAAAAGCTCATGGTTCATTTTGACCATTTTGTCAGAAACTGGATAGATTAAGTCTTCCACATTTCATTAAAAAAAATAGGGCTTTATTAAGAGAAGAAAAATTATCAGGCTACGGAAAGGAAGTTTGCCTCCTGAGGAAAGGAGTTTCAATGACTTCCAATAGGTAATTTGTCCAAATTCACAGACTCCCTGTGTTACCTATTGAAATATTTGAGTAGAGAAACTAATACGTACAACCTCCAAAGGGGGGGGGGGGGAAGAGAGGTAAAAAAAGACAAAGGCAAAAAACAGAGGAAAAAAAGAAAAATACAAAGAAAAGAAATGAAAAGAGAAAAAGTTATCACCTTGAAGACTCTCCACGTATAAGTTGCTCAGCAGGGAATCTGAGAACTGGAGCAGCCAGCACAGGGAGAGAGCACAGCAATGAAGGGCATGGTGTGTATCTCTTTCTCTCCTTCCCAAGGACTCCGCATCAGGACATTCAGAGGATTGCTCATTCAGCTCCTTCTCGACTCTGCTCACTGCCACAGTGACCTGCCAGGCAGGTGTCACTGCTGTCAGGCACCATCGTGCTCCCCTCCCTCTGTCTGAGCTTGCTCACCAGCAGCTGCTCTGGTTGGGATTTATGAGGTGCAGATCCTCTTCACACTCATTTTAAGAAGCCCGCAGGTACTGCCACGTTTATTGCTCCCTGACCTACTTTTAACCACATGCTGTTATTTAGCCCAGGACTTCTTTCTCTTATGTTGACAATGCAATCCTGATACAGGAATGGGGTTTGTTTCTAGGCATGGTCCCAGCATTAATAGCTACTGACTTACATTTCCTTTCTCTCCACCAATGATGGGTACATCTGTCCACAGGCTGTAAACTCATGTTTGATGACATTGTTGTTTTGTTCACTTGATAATTACTCAGTATGACATGGGAGTTCACAGCCATATGTGACTTCCCTGCTTGCACAGTCTAGAAAGATTTGTCTTTCCAGCAAGACTTCTCTGCCTTCAGGGGAATACATGTCAACATCTGCCTGCAGATGTTTTTATATGAAAACTTACTGTGAGTTTTGAATACATGGACACAAGTGATGCATTATACCTGGAAACAGGTAACAAGAAGGGATCTTTTGTGCCCAAACTGCAAGGACTTAAAAATCCAAATTCTTTGTGCTACAACTGTTGGTTTTAGCATTTCAGTACCAGAAAATTAATCATGGCACAGGTTATTGGACCCAGACAAATAATTTACCAGATCTGAAGCTTGAATCTTGGGCCTAAGCATCCTTGAGAGATATAGATGCAAAATGTTCAGTGAAYCAAACAGGAGTGTCTACTTGAGATAAAACTTCATTGCCACTAAACTTCCCAATGTTTAGTTCACAACACAGAGAAAAATTACTCTGTTAAAATAATTTATACTTTAGTGAAGTAAAAAAAAAAACCAAAACCCAAAACACACTCAAGTGATTGATTGCTTGAGTCTTATTCAATAAGTTTTTCTTTTTGTTTTCCAGTKGAGGTCCCCAGTGATTTTACAACAGACTCAAAACTCTGGGGCTGAATGGAAAAAAAAAATCTGGTAATCTAATAGGTTTGGTTTAGCTATTCCAGATTTACCCTGGATTCATCAGTAGTAGAATTTGGCCCTTCTTAAGAAAACATTAGAGAGCTTGCATGTTGCACCAGATAAGGAAATAAAAGAAAAAATAGCAAGGACAACCCCACCTAGTCGATGACTCTTGGAGTGGAGGTTTCAAACAGGTCATATAACCGCATGTCAAGCAAAATATCTGATGAGAAAATACAGAGGAGACAAAGTGGGTACTTTAAATTGTGTTTGATTCTTTCACTTACGCTGCTGTAAATCTACTCCAGCCAAAAATCTGACAAGTGTGACATAATATAGGAAAGTATCCTGGAAAAACCTACATGTAATATTTATAAATGATAATGCACTTTAACAWWCTGAMAAGAGAAAAAAAAAAAAAGAAAAGTTAACTGGAGTATATGCTAATTTGCACTTAGGAAAATGCTTTCATTGCAGAATACTTCAAGCTCCAAACACCCAGGGCACAGTGAAATGAAAATATTCCTTTTTCACTCAGCATTAGAAACMTTCCCTAAATATTTACCTGTGTGATAATTTGTTTAATTTTGTCTTTGCTTTATACAAAAAAAAATTAATACCATTTACTGATTGGATGGATAGCAAAGAAAAAACATACACCCAGAAATCCCTAAGGGGAAGCGTAAGATTTTTGAAAGTATTTATTTCATTACAATGTAAGCTGGAGTACATAAAAGGCTTTACCTATGTATGCTTCAAAAATGAAACTATTAATACATCWGTTACACATATAATTCACCTGAACWGTGAACAGTGTCTAAAGAATTTGCACTAGTTACTCTCTTGAAAGTGGCAGCATCGACATTTTCATGATYTCACAAATTTGTCCAGGGTTTATCCACTAAGACTTAAAAGCAAACCAAGAGACTCCTGCAAAAAGTAGCTTGTTAAACACTGTGATGGTTTGAGAAGCATTACAGGTGCAAAATGATAAGACAAACAATATAACTGGTAAAAACTTAAACTGTTTAAGAAATATTTGAAAAAAAAACCTGGCATAACAACTCCGGTTTCTCTTCCCTGCTATTTGTTTCAACTGGATATACAGTMGGCACTTTTGAGTCCAAATTCCTCTCTTCCTCCTATCCCTCATTCACATTTCTTTCCTTTGAGTAATTTATGAAAGTAGCCTCCAAATTAGCCTGCTGTTGTAGTTTAACCCCAGCTGGCAGCTGAGCTCCACACAGCCACTCACTCACTTCTCCCAGTGATTTGGGGGAGATTCAGAAGGGCAGAGTGAGAAAACTCATAGGTTGAAATGGAGATATTAATAGGCAAAGCAAAGCTGCACTTGCAARCAAAGCAGAAAAAGGAATTAATTCACTGCTTCCCATGGGCAGGCAGGTGTTCAGTCATCCTGAGGAAAGAAGGGCTCCAACACACACAGTGATGACTTAGGAACCTGACAAACACCATCACTCCAAATATCCCTCCTTTCTTCTTCCCCCAAATTTATATGCTGAGCATGWCAACATATGGTCTGCAATATCCCTATGGACAGTTGGGGGTCAGCTTCCCCAAATGCGTCCTGTACAAAGCCCTTGTGCACCACGAGCCTCCTCACTGGTGGGTGGGGTGCGGAGCAGAAAAGGYTTTGGCTCTGTGTGAGCACYGCTCAGCAACAAAGAAACCATCTCTTATTATCAGCTCCATTTTCAGCAGAAATACAAAATGCAGCCTCRTAACAGCTACTGCGAAKAAAATTAACTCTACCCCAGGCAAATCCAGCACTCCTACTGATTTCCAATACCTGMTTTATTCAAGCAGCTCTCAGAATTTAGTAAGCCAAAACAAACGAAAAGTGTGTGATTACTTAATCTGAGCGCACAATAGGGCTGACTCTTCTACCTTTTTTTGTGCATTTTTTGATTTGTGTGTCAATCTCTTAGTAGCAGTAATATTAAGTCAGAATAGTTCCAGTAATCTAGTAAACGTATGGGACYATTACAAACTTGCACTACATTATCWCAGAGTAGGAGCTGAGGCAGCAAAGAGGTAAAAGCATACTTTGTTACTCATACCRATACAGCCAAACAGAGCTGTTCTTTTAAGCCAGCGCCAATCTGTTGTGCAAAGTAACAGCAGAAAAAAAGAGAAATTAATAAAATGTTTTTTACTACAACCTCTCAACAGTACCACCATCTCCCTTTTTTGTGTTTTCTGGTTTCCCAGGAGCAATGACACTAGGAAAACACAAGGGCAAAGACAGGATTCTGTTAGATCTGGGTTCATTTAAGCAGAAAACACTAAGTATCAGTCCAAACACAAAGCACCAGCACCACTGTTACGCTTTGTGATAATGAATGTTAACACATCTATGGAGCAATCAATGGAATCCATGCTGTCAATCAGGAAAAGTAACAGTCACTCATGAATACTGGTAATTGAGACATAGCACTCAGAGAGCCATTCAAACAGCACAGGAGAGGTACAGCTTTCATGTGAATAATTTATTCTTTTATCACTTTRAATTTTACCAGGTATTTAGTTACAAAGAAACTTTTTGTGGACAGAATTTACATCAGCAACTGCACAATTTTTGTCATTRCTAGGGTACGACTAACATCCTCCCCATGTTGCTTAACAGTGMCAGTTTTGATCAAATAGGATTATTTTTTCCCAATTATTTTTTTTACTTAGTTTCAAGTGTAAACAYAAGTTGTTTACACTTACCTTTGCTGCAACTAAGATTTCTATTTTATGGAACCAGTTAACAGATGGAAACATTAGTTTCATCTGTCATTAGCATTTCTTTATTGAAGTCGGGATTTAGTTTTAGATTCAATGAAGGCTTTAGGCATTTCATTGCTAGGTACTGCAATGCCTCTKTACTATGGTGGCACCCCTGAAAAGAATCCAAATTACCTGTCTGGCMTTCCAGTACAGTGCACGGAGATCCTCACCTCAAAGTGGTAACCCAAAATACAGAGCCTGTCTGCAAAATCTTTCCAAAGAAAACTTGCCCAAATGCAGCAACTCTACCAAATCTATGCTGAATTACCCATGCAGGAGGTGGGGCCTAGAATCTACTCAGAATTCAATATACAGGAGCCTATGTGTGCTTTTGGAGGATTTGCAAGAAGCTCATCCTTGAGAAAGAGCCCCAGGAGGAGTCTTCCCCTGAACAGCCATCTAGATTTGAGAACACGTGCGCATGCAAACACACACGCACGTGCAAAGTGCAAGGCCTCAGATCAGTCTTTACTCAGCTTAAGGGAATTCAAACCTAAATCCTCTAACAGACAACCTTGAAAATAGGAGTAGTCTAGGGAGGAAAAATTATCTCCTGAAAAATTAGGCCAATTATGTCCCATTAAAATAGAAGGACTGTAAGATTTAGGGGACAGAAAGGCAGCAGTCTTTCAGAAATGTCTCTCTGGCTAGTCTCAGATCACTCARTGAGGATAACTACCTTGCTGATTTGTGAGATTTTTAGTCAATTAACATACAATGCAAAAGGCATAAATATTTAGAGATCAGGGACAAGCTCCAAGAGGGCCTTCAGTCCACTGGGAATCAGAGGGTAAGAGATGAGGACTGAATGCTTGCAGGCCAAGAAAGCMCACAAGATCTCCCTATTCCCATACAAACATGGTAGACTTTTGGCTGCTCTAGAAAAAATGGCTGTTTTAAAAGCTAAGCATATGCAAACACAACTTGAGGGTGGCCTGGCCCTTTAGTAAGTGGCTTCTGGATATCCCACKTGGTAGGTAGGTGTGGAACTGCTCTGAGCAGCTCCAAACGGGTGAAGGGGAACTGCTAAGCARCTCCACGTGTCAAAGAGACAGCTGTTTTTCTGTTTAAGTAAAACTGTAGGGYTCTGGAATGACAATTTCAGTCTTCAAATGCCTGAACACTATCTAAATTCTGATTTTAGTACCCAAGTTTGGTGGGGGGTTTTTTTGTGAAGATATAACTGGGGGAGAAAACAATTCTCAGCAAACCTGCCTCAGGCCTACCGGGGAGGAAACAGAGGCCACAGAGCAGGAAATCTGGCTAGAAACATGCCTCTGTTGTTAATCATCAGGCTGTGACTACGTAGAGTGTAAAAAGGAAACAAGTTTGATAGGCAGTTACTAATGAAGCCCAGACTCTGCCCCACTGACACTGTGCAAACAGTGAAATGCAGGTAAGCACTTGATTCAACATTTTTGCAAAAGAGGAGCTAGCAAAAATACAAACCACTGCAGGTTAATTGAATGCTTATTACTGTAGAACTTATTTCTTCATAGGGTACAGCAAACGATATTGGAAAAAAGCATATGGTTCATTCTGTCCCAGAATCTGGGGCATATTTTCACATCTTAAATAATGGAAACTTCCCAAAACTTTTTTAGAAGCATTTTCATGCATTAGCAGGAATGAAAGTGCTTAATTAATGTTTAATTGATAGGAATGCAAAAGCTGGCTTGATACCTCATTAATACTGTAGTATAAGAACTATACTACCTAAGTCTTTGAACTACGAAATTGTGTAGTATTGCAAGATAAAACAGACATTTCCTTGTGTGTGTTCCTGGTGACTCTATTTCAAAATCTGGCCTAGCACTTACATCTCTAGTTTAAGTATACACCTAAGTGTTGCACTACACAACTTGAAATATTTTCTACAGTTAACATAAAAATTATGCTGAAAGAAAACATATRATTTTTCTTTCCTGCTCAAGCTACAACTCTGCAATTTAATTTAGAGTCAATGTTTCCAAGGATTCTTGTCTGAGAATAAAATCAAATTTTCTGTGAAGAATGTTACCAAGCTGTACTGCAGCTAAGATAAATGTTACACTCTGCAGGCCTACAGCTCCTGCCTGGCTGACGCTTTAACTAGCTCACTAGGGAACAGGCTCACTCGGCTAAGAACTACTAGGATTGGACCCCTGTTTTCTATAGAATGCCTAACCAGATCAGATGCATTAAAACACTGTGCAAYAAAGATGAGAAAAGAAACAAAAAACAAACATTAAAGTGAAGGAACGAAGAATCTATGAAGTTCACTGTTCTCTTTTGTAAAGATGGTGTCTCTTACGACAGAGCCTGCTGCCTTCCTTTGGAAAAAGCAATTATGTATAAGAAYGCTAAAATCCTGTTTAACAAAAACATCTTAATTAAACATAAAAAGACCTGCTTTCTTCTACGCAAGGTCCCTATGTAYTTCTAAAATATGAATCTATACTAGAGCTTTGAATATAAACAATTCTCTGCCACAGTCCATGCCAGTTCCATGCTGAATATTCAGCAATGTACCAGCAAAAACACAAGTTCTTTTTTCAGGAAAGGTTTTGCAGTGATTTACCATAAAGCTAAAACATTTGCCTTGTCTATTGATTTCTTTTTTTTAATAAAAAAGGTATAAAATAAATGCATGTGCCCTTTTCAAGATAAGTCTGTCTGTGTAGACATTCTACATTTTTCCAGTTCTGAGTRACATGACAAAAAGTATGCTCCAACTTTCCAGAGGCAGGAAGAAGTTTTGTATATTTTTGCCTTATTTAGATGCTGCCCCACAAACAGCTCTCTTGGGCAGTTTAGAAACACAATGACAGTGTACGCCATCAGCACGTACTGCAATTAACAAGGACTTATTGATTAGCAATCATTAGTTTAAAATAAATAAAGCAGTCTCTCAATCAAAATATAGGGAAGTAACATCATGCTAGTGCTCAATATAATTGACATGTGTAGCACATTCCTATTTTTCATGTCCCCTTTTTGATGGTCTTGAACTAAGTGGGAAAGGCCTTTTGCCACAGGTTGGTTTAGGCTAACCTTCCTTGACCTGCAGCTAAAGAGCACATGAAGTACAAAGCTTTTGCCCAACTCTAGTGGCATACATGGTCATGTCAACTGGTTGCAGTTTGAACAGTTTCAGGTCATTTTTGTTATAATTTAAAATCTCTGATTTAAAAAAAAAAAAGTAACAAAACAATATGTCTTTTCAAACAGAAATAATTACCTTCTTCAAATAAGGAATGTATCGACAATTCATACATACTACAAAATACCACATTTTAAAAAGGTAACTTTTTTTTCTTTGCATTCCAAAACATGTGGCACGCATTTGTGTTACTTAAAACATTAAGTCTGGTATCTGTTAAATCATCTGTGGTTGAAATTCCTGGGACCATACAATGCCACAGCTYCCTTAAACCATCTATTGCACCAGAAATGAAAGGCTGTGATGTAGATGTTCTTCCTATACTTTTCAAACCCAGGAAATAGTTGGTTTAACACAAAAACAAATGCAGCTAAATTATGTTACCAGCAGTATTTATCCCTCAGTATCATCCCAGAGGGAAAAAACCACAAATGACAGAAAAGGCTCCAGCCCAGATTGCAACTACGTGTAAACACACAACCAACACTCATGTCCCATTATGACACTTTTGTCAAGAATATTCTAGAAATCCAAGAGTAAAAACATTTTTTTGAGATTGGGGATTGGCACAAACATCATCCAGAGATTATCCTTTATAGCAGCTTTTACTTTTGTGTGCTTGGCTTTTCACACAAAGCACAGCAAACGTGAGAWGAGTTACAACTGAGTTACAATCAGCCCAACATCTTGAGAGCACAGATGAGGGAAGGGGAACTCCCTCTTCTCWGCAGACACAACTAAGAGGGTCCCCTCTGTAGGTGGGAGCTTGTGGATCTGCAACCCAKCTACCCTCTCAGGAAGCCAGAGGCAGGCTGGCCACCTTACAGTAATGGGAGRGAGCCCTCCTGGTCCCCGGTTTTGTCCAGCCTCTCAGGCAGGGTAAGCACAAAGGGTAGGAGGACACCCTTGACATCCAGGGGAGCTTTAAGAAGCTCCCCATCAAAGGTGCCCTTGAGCCCACCATCTGCTTCCACCTCACCGTCCTGGGCTAGGGTGAAGCGAAGAGTGCCGGTCCGGTTGACGCAGTAGATGGTGTTGCCCAAGGGRGCACAGCGGAAGGGTTGGATGGGGCCACCGCTGGGCCGCAGGCTGGCGCACTGGCTCCAGCACTTGGCCACCGTGTTGTACCGGAAAACTTCGACACCACCAGCAGTCCCGCCGCCGGGACCCTGCTCCCCACCACGGCCACTGCTCACATCRAAGCGGTAGATGAAGCTCTTGAAGGCCACCATGTCAGCAGAGCGCCGGCGGCTGCTGTTGTAAGGGCACTCCTGCCACTCGTCACGCTTGGGGTCATACTTGAGCAGGCGGTAGAAGAGGGAGCCTCCTGACACATAGATTTCCCCGTTGCAAGTGGTGGCCTCGTGAGCCACAGCGAAGGCACCCTTGGGCAGAGGTGCCACAGGGCTCCAGCGGTCGGCCCGTGGGTCATACCGTTCCACCGTGAAGAGGCACTCACCCCCCACAGCGTAGAGGTAACCATCCAGGGCCAGCAGCTTGAGCTGCGAGCGGGGCTGAGCCAGGGGCCGCACCTGGCTCCAGCTGTCGGTCAGGGGGTTGTAGCAGAAGACCTTGTCAGAAAGGCGGGCCCTGGGCTCGCTGCCCACCGGCCCCGTCACAATGCCCCCTGCGAGGAAGAGGTAGTTGTGGAGGACACACATGGCGCAGCCCTTGGCATTTGCCTCCTCAGGAAGGCGCGTCAGCACTCTCCACTCGCCGCTGGCCTCGTGGTAGCAGTGAATGAGGGAGCCACTCTCCTCCAGAGAMACCACGGAGGAGGGACTCTGGGGCCGACTGCTCTCGCGGCTCTGTGGCCGGCTGCCGCCACCCGGCCGCTCGAAGGCGTCACTGACCTCGGCTACCAGGAGGCAAGGCTGGCCGGCATCCATGCGCCGCTGCAAGATGAGGTCCCGCTCAGTGCCACTGAGGCGGCCGTAAACGCTGGGCTCCCGCAGCACCTCCAGGTAATGATCGCTCATGAAGCGATAGGCAGCCTCCCGCAGCTCYGCCAGCCGCTGCTTCTTGGCCAGGCAGAGGAGCTGGTAGCAGTTGCCGAGGCAGAGCTGGGCGCGCATGGCCTCGGCGGCACAGTGCAGGGCGCAGGGCATCTGGAGGACGCGGGCGCCGCTCACCACCTCAGCCAGGTTGTCGTGCCGCACCTCGCCCATGCGGGCCGTGTACACGTAGTCGATGAGCAGCCGCAGCGCCCCGTAGCTCACCCCCTTCACCCGCAGGACGTCCCGTGAGGCGCGGGCACGAAAGTAGTCACTCTTGGCCGCCAGCACCGACTTGTGCGCCCGAATGCGGCGGCCCGACACCTCGATCACCAGGTCGGGCTCCTCCGGCGGCCGGTCCCGCGGCCCCACCACCTCCTCATCCTCCTCCGGCTGGCAGGCGGCGTTGTTGATCTCCCACTGGCTCTGCAGCACTCCGGCGCCGGCCGCGGGCGGCTGGGGCTCGGCAGCGGCGGCGCTGAAGCAGAGGGAGGAGCTGAAGCCGCAGGGGGCGGCGGGCGTGGGCGGTGGCGGCGGCGGGGGTGCGCCGTTCGCGGCCCCGCTCTCCTCCTCCTCCGGGGACGCGCTGCTGCCCTCCATGGAGCCGCGCTACCTGCGCCGCGCCTGGTCCGTGCGAAGCGCTGTCGGCCGCCGCGGCGCGGCCATCACCTGCGGGACAGACCCAACAGCGCTCAGCATCCGCGCCCTCCTCCGCTCCCCCGCGGCTGCTTTCCCCCCCGCTTCYCAGCATTACTATTCGGAGCCGCCGCTCTCGCAGGCGGAGCTGTCTCTAGTTTCCAGGGCTAAACCGCCGCTTCTCCTTTCCCTGAGAGATCCACCCTGCGGCTCGGCCGCCTCCCGCTGCCCGCGGCTAAYTGCGCTAGCTCGGCCCTCGAAAACCTGAGCTCTTCTCGTGGGACAGGGATCGCCCCGATGAGCACCTCAACAGCCTGAAAAGCAATTCTGGTTTTCCCGTTGCCCTGCAAAAATATTAAGCAGTTTGCAGCACTGCATCCTTTTCATRAGAACTGGTCCCTACCCTGGGCTGGGTAATGAGGAAATATCTCATTTAATGGTAGATATTTAGAAGTAATATCATAATGTATTCACCTTGTGCAACTATTTCAGTAAAAGGCCGAGAATGCAATCTACTCTGGAAGGCAATTCCTCACTAGCCAAGYTTGCCTTTGCATGACCTTCGTGAAGTTTTCTTCATATCACTGCTCCTGATATTCATTCCCCCTGTTTGAAAGAAAGGGTAGAAAGATGATTATTTTTAAATTTATATATTCTTTTTTTACTTAGAAGCTTGGGAGTACGAAAGTTATGTTTCCTTTAATAATCTATCTAGAGTATCATAAAGGCACCATAAGTWTGCTAAAAATTCTAACTGTTTACAAAATATACAGAAGTATTTTTTTCTGTTCTTAGGACAAGAGCAATCTCACATTTGTGTAGCAGCATATGTAGCTGTAATGCATTAGCAAGGTGTAAATCAGGCTTCATAAAGATTGCTTCATGTATTCATTCAAAGGTTTATAGCTTCTGTTAACAAAAAGTAGAAGCGAGGAAAGAAAAATCACAATAGATAATTAGAACATGAAGTCTCTTGCAGGAAAAGGCAGGATACAGGGAGGGCCTGGCTGTAAGTAGGTTAGTCCCTGTCAACAGCTGTACCTTCATTTCATAAATGTAGTTTTTAGAATTTAATCAAGTGCCATTTGTTTGCCTCATGTTTGTTTATGAATTTCCCAGACTYGGTTTAAGTTTTGATGAGTGACGCACAAAAGTTGTTCAAATGCACTTAATATAATTTAATAAGTATCTGCAGCTCTGATTCTATTTTTAAGGAGGTTATTAATTTCCATTAAAATTCCCTCTGTCAGTTTTTTSCCAGTCCTCAAGGAACACCCATTTCTATGTAAAATATGCACTGTGGCTTCCTTTCAGCAGACATGATTCATTTACCCTATTAAATTAGTATTAGGGAAATCTAACTTTTAAATTTTTTTTTTTTTTCTGAAAGCATAATTGGTGAGTGACATTGTCTGGAAACCCCTGACACAGACAGGAAATCTAGAAGCCCATACCTGCAATGCAAACTTTACTTAAATGAWAATATCAGTCTTCTCCTGTGGCTTTTTATTTTCTGCACTTGCCTGGTGAAGGGCCTTCTACTACATTTGATCACATTCAGTCACATTCACCGAATCAATGCTGAGATTTGGTTTCTGGGTATTTGAGACTTTCAGATCCTAACAACAACTTATGTAAAGATAAATAAATTTCTTTTTAACAATAAAACTTATTAGACTTTCACAAATTTTGTATTCCTCATCTGAGTGTTTAAAAATCTGGCACTTAGGAACTTTCTATGACTGTATGAACTCTGAATAMCTTTAGTGGCAAATTTGCTGCCATCCAGACCCAAACTCTTTAGGTCAAGCTTTACTGAGTTTCTGCAGCTTTAACTAGACAAGAAGAAATGCAGTTATCTGTGTGCACACTCAGTGTGTCTATGGAAGATGCACTGATTCATTAATAACTTAAATATCTCTGTTGACGTGATTATGGTTTTCACTGCATCTTTACAGTACACAGAGCAATTACTGTAGCTGGCACTGGCAAAATAACAAAGATCCAGTGGATGTAGCTATGAAAACATCTACAATATCAAGCTTCAATGTCCAGTTATATTAAGAAAATTTCTACAAGTATGTAATTTGTGTCTGCTCTTTCTCAGGCTGAGTTCCCCAATATTCAATCCTCATCTCAATGCAGTTCTGGATAGCTTGGCTTCCTCAATTATAAACATTTAGTGGGTGCTAACATACTTTCCCTCACTGCTCTCAGTATGATTGCCTTTCCTGACACATCTCACTTCTGACACCACTTCTCCTAACTTCTACTTATGTACTCCCGCTACAAGAAGGAATGAGTAGCTTCAGATAGTTTCAAGCTCTTGGTCTATARCTTGATTTTGCAAGTGAAACTATATAGGAAGAATGAAAGAGAATGCCACCAAAAATTAGAAGTATGGATAATTAAATGAGAGGATTCAAAACCAGTTATCTAACTAGAAGTCTAATATCAGTAATATCTCTGTATGGTGAAATGTATTTCATGCAYTATGACTCAAAGGAAAATTACCATTGAGAATATTCAAATGAGTTAAAACAACAACCAGAAACTCTTACCTTTTCAACTTTCTCAGCTAACAGAAGGGAAAAAAAAGGGTGAGATACTCCTTAAGCATAGCAATCATACCTTTTCCCATATTCAAATATCTGCTTGTCTTAGATGTTCGATTTGACACTGAAATGTCATTGAGAAARAAGCTTGGTAACACCTGTGTTAACRATCCCCTGAGGAATCACAAGGAGAAGGAAGGGGTGATGGTAAGGCWGACTAATGGCAAGCAGCAGAAGAATTCTGAAGAAAATTATCCTCTGGTATATCCAGAGGTAACTACCAAGAATATGTTGAATTTCATGAGAAGGACTTGAATCAAAGTGTCACATGCAACTAAGGCAACAAGGAATTATATGGGGAAGCTGAAGTCTTAGAAAAGCTGAAAGAGGGTTTGGAGGACTTTGTCARTGACAGCAATGACCACTCCAGCAACCTCTGTCTAGTTGAAAATAAAATAAAGAATTACACAAAGATGAAACTGAAAAATAATTTAGAGAAATTGTGGAACCTTTCCATTATTGAGCAATACGACTGATCTGAGTTAAAAKGTCATGGATTTAGTATGAAACAGGAAGATGCTGAAAGGGCCCGATGGAAATACAATACTGAACTCCTTCTCTGTTCTTTTCTTATCTACAGTGATCAAAGAGTTGTACTGCTGTTCTGGCAACACAGAACATTCAAAAATTAGAGGTACAGAAGATACTGACACTTGATAGCTGCGATGATTCAGAAGAATCTGATGCCCAGTGATCTCGTCTGGCTTAAAACAGACTTGGTTTTAGCACTTTTTTCAAAACTCACAAACAGGATAGGTACTGGAAAAGGAAGCAAGCTGTTGAGAGTACATAGTACCTTTGGACTGAGGTCACCTTTTATGCWGGGAACTTTTAAGTCAGAAGCTGAATTACTTGATCTGAAACTGTTTTCATTATCATGGGCTTGGTCTAGGGATGATGTAATGTTAATGGACAGAGGAGCTGCCAACAAACATGAACTGTATTTACAGACTTGGCAATGACACACAATATCCTGAATGTGTGGCCCCAACCTCAAATGCTGTGAGACATTGCTCAAGTAACAGCACAGATAAGAAGGCACAGTATTTCTGACAGAGAAACTGTAATGAAGAGCTGCAGGTAAAGTTTCCTGGCACTGTGTTCATTTGGCAGTCCTTCTGATAAAATCCAATTAAACGCTTGTATTGAATTGTTCTCTCTTTATTTTTTTTTGTGCAGTGCCAATAGCCTTTGATCCAAATCACATCCTCTAGCAAGACCCTCTTTCTCCRGGGAGTATGTGCATGTGGGAGGAACTGGATTACTGCTCTCCAGTTCACAAATGGAAACGGCTCTGACTCAGTCTCATGGTAAATAAAAGCAGTGCTTTCCCTATCATAAGCAACACTAATTTACATAAGGAGGCCATCCTCCCCAGGAGACTTACCAGTCCAGAAATGACAGAATACGAACATTCTGCTCCACCTTAATCCAGAAAAAAATGCTCTTGTAAAAACATGGGATTGCCAAATTTTACTTCAGTAGAGAATTCCCTAGGGATAGGGGGTRTCATCTGATTGAGATGATGAAGGCTTCCAAAGAGGCAGGATCATCAAAAGAGAGAAAACATCCCTTATATTTATTTTAAAAACTAAACAATGACTTAGAGCTGGCCAGGCTGGAGACATCCAGCTCACAACAAAAGGCAAAATCTTCTGGGAGGCAGAGTCAAGGGTAGAGTGGTTTGCATACTTGCAAAAATGGTCTGTTACACTCCTGCTCATTGAGTAGATCTGTGAAATTTGGAGGAAAAAAATGTTCTCTTTGTAGATAGGGAAAACATCTGGAGCACAAAGATGCCATTTCTCTGAACAATATTACACCACTTGGATCCTATTACAGATTTAAACTCTTAACCACTTGATTAACCTCCTGTTTGTAAGAAAAAAGTACAATTGTCTTTCAGTGTGCCACCTCAAGAAAAAAAGCAGGAAAAATAATTTTTTTTTCTCTTCCTTTTTTAAAAATAGGTACAATACAATCCTAGTGTCTTGCCTTGACTTCTGGATGTATGGCTTTTATAGTATTGCATTCACACTCAAGTGTGGATGCAAATTTTTGCMTCTCAAGGTGCTGTAATTTTCTCACAACATGTAACAGAGGTAYGAATGTTTTTATCTCATAAGTACAATATTTTCATACAACCACAAAGAAAAATAAACACTTAAGAAYTGCAACTTATGACTACAGACCACACAAGAAACATGTGGGCAGCAGTTCCTCATCAGAAACTCAAGAGAAAGAAAAGGCTGTGTGTGTCTGGACAGGGAGGAAGAGAGAGAGGAAGTAAGTCATAATAAAAATATTATCCAAAGCCTGATTAAATTGATATTATAGCTAACAATTCCAMACTAAAAACATACAACTTCTAAAAAGTCATCATGACCAGAGAAAAGGTTTCCTAACAGTGATATCCACAGAGACAAACATTCTCTAAAAAGGAAACTATCTTTTTTTAAGTTCCTTCCAGTTTAGACTCTTCAGAAATAGTTAGGGAGGAGTAGTGTCTCTCAGGAGTTCTCACAGCAAAAAGGAAATAACACTCCTACAAAAGCAAAATTTAGCAAAGATTAAGTGCAAGTTCTCTCCAATATCTCTTAGAGCAAAGAAAGTCTAACAAAAAAAAAAGAAGTCAGAAATAAGTTTTGAGTGACTATAATACCTTTGGGAAAAATTCCAGGGCTGATGTGATGTCTTTATCATTAATGCACTACAGATTAGGAGATAAGTATGGCATGGCAATACCACGGTGAATGTGACAAAACTTTTTATGCAGAATTGCTGCTAATTCTAGACATGGGCTCGCAACTACAGTTCTAGATAAAAGGTGAGAGCAGCTAGCCCAATCTGTGATAAACTAAAGTTTGGTTGCTTTCATCATATCTGGGCACAGCTAACACTACATTAAATTAACAGCAGTACCAAACATATGAGCAGGGTGCTACAGCTGAGGGAARTGAGGAGTAGCCATAGGGAAAATGTTACCTCTCC